GAACCTAAATAGTTTCAACAATATAGTTGTTCGTTTGATAAATAATTCTTGTTGGCTTATCTTAACAAATTTAACAATTGGCTTATGTTAACAAGAATTTTGTCAATTCAACTCATACTTTTATTATTATGATTGTGGTTTATATTTCGGTGGAATCAGCCTATTATCGACCCTATCTAAACTATATGAAAGGATTCTACTGAATAGGATAAAACCCTATTTACACATGATCCCAAAACACCAATACGGATTCAAAACACAACACTTCACATGCCAACACATTCCACCAGATCCAACGTACATCTGAAATAGTCGTACAAGGCTTTGAAAACAAACAATACACGACAGCAGCTTTTCTTGATTTAACACAGGCTTTTGATAAGGTCTGGCACCATTGGCTTCAAATAAAACTGAAAGCACYCGATCTCCCTATTTACCTGTTAAAAATATTACATCTTTCATAACTGATATAACATCCCAAGTGAGAATAGACACCGAATTATGCTCACAACACAATATCAAATCTGGAGTCCCACAAGGATCAGTATTGGGACCAGCGCTCTCCAATATTTACTGTCATGACATCCCCAATCCCACTAATTCTCAACTGGCAATATTTGCGGACGATACGACAATCCTCACAAAAGATTGTGCATTAGACTTATCAATCGAAAAACTACAATCTTCTTTAAATGAAATCACCTCTTGGTTCAAAAAATGAAAGCTGAGCCTATACCAAACTAAAATGGTGGCTATAATATAACCTTGAAAAGATACAACGATCTAAGTAACATTAATATAAACAATCAGATTATTCAATGGAATAGAAAGGATGATTCAGTCAAATATCTTAGTGTTTTTCTTGATGAAAAACTAACATATGAAATATCCAAATAAACAAAAGAGTAAAAACTCACACAGGAATATGTCAGGATGAGAATCTTGTACTCCTTAATCAATCATAAATCGGTCCATACCCACTTTGCCGAATCCCAATTCGCCGACAACGCAGTTTACCGACATATATACCAGTTTTAAAATATTTTAAAATATTCTTTTTTCGCTGACAGTATAATTTGCCGATATCTCGGTTCGACGACAGTTCGATAATGATTTTATCGAAAACGAATAAGATAGCGATAATATTTTGGTATGTTATCGATATAAGTTCAACGTTTAAATGTTTTTCCACTGATAAAAACATAAAATCCATATGTAGTATAGATTGGAGAATTTAGTTCATTCCAGCCGATTTTATAGTAAACTTTAGTATAACTATTGAAAAATGCTGATTAAAAGTTGAATTAAAAATAAAATATGAAAAAGATCGAGATTTACTAGTTGTTGATAATTTTATTCATCGAGTGGACAGAATATAATAATAGATTGAAATCAGAAAAAAATCTCTTTAATAGAGTATGTCGATATAAAAAAATATCATATAATAATACAATAATTTTCAATTGTTTTTATTTTTATTTACTTTTATTTTGTATATAATAATATAATATCCTAACCGACCTAACCTACTTTCATTTTATATAATATATCTACTGACTTCATGTATTAATAACGATTTATACATGACAAATTTGTATTTACTTTTATTTTTTAATAAGTCGGCAAATTGGGAAAATGTAAATAAATACCCGGTGAAATACTGTGTCGGTGAATTGGGTTGCGGCGACGTGGGAAGTCACGTCATAAATCAACCCTTCAAATGAAATCTTCTATCCTTATTTACACCGCAATAATCAGATCAATGCCTATCATATCCTATGCCTGTCCTGTATGGGCCGCTGCCTCCACCACTACAATAAATAAAATCCAAATTTTACAAAATAAATTCCTAAGGATATGACTCAATGCACCATGGTTCATGAGAAATCATCAGATCCATAATGACACGGGAACACCCCCGATAAACACATGGATCAAAACCCAGTTTAAAAACTTCCACGCCAAACTAAAAAACTTGGACAGTGGTCGACATAACAACCTAGGGAAAAAACCCACAACAGACGTCTGCGGTCTCTACTAATTCATAGTGAAGACTCGTCATCAGAAAATGAAGATTACTATTAATATAATATACAAGATCTCATAACATTATTTCTATTTCTATTTCTATTTTTATTTGTATTTGTATATTATACTAGTACAAATAATCTTATGTTATTAATTTCAAAATTCATAAATTACAAATTATATGTAAAAAAAATTGTTGTAATAGCACAATAATATGTGCTGAAACATTTTATAATTAATTAAATAAAAAAAAATTATATAATTTAGTTGAAAGTAAAATATTATTTTTTAACTGATTAGTTTCTTATAGTGATACATGATTAGGCTTCTAAGCGAATGACAATGATGCTATCTTCTTTTTATGAAATGATTTAAAAGAAGAATATTCCACAAATGAAAATAATGATGAAGAATTATGTCCATGTTGTATTACTTTAGACAGCTATCAACATTATAATAAAATATATATGTTGCTGGTACCTAATATTATGATGTAATATACTTTAGTACTTAAGTATTGCTATTATTAAGCACTTGCTCGATGCTTACCGCGTCAGTATGGTTAAATAAAAATAAAACATTCAATATAATATGTTCTTGGTTTGAAGCGGTTCACAAACTGTGCAATACGAGCACTTTCTAAAGGCACCGTGGTCTACAGCTCATGATAAATAATTTAAAAACTATAGAATTTTTAAAAATTCGTTAATGAGTATTTTTTTGTCCTGTCTTTTATGGTATTTGCAGCAGGTTCCGTGGCTATACTAGGTCCAAAAAATTGCACTGCAAAAAAAAGTTTGAAAACTGCTAATTTACAGTATCAAAAAGGATGTTGTTGGTGTTAAAAAGAAACAATCGTCAAGATGTGTCGATAGGTTGGGGTAGATGAAGARTTAATTGTCTAATATTACAGACCATTGGATCATTGTGGAGTGTGCAGAGAGGGAAGGTAAAAGTTGTTTTAGTAAATGTGTTTAAGTAATTGATCTATTGGTTAGACAGGGTACAGAGAGGCATTACACTTTTTGACATTAATTCTTCAATTTGTAACATCATCATTCCAATTTGACCAGAAAATTAGATTTTAAGTCCAGTCTAAAAAGTACTGTAATATCTAATTACATATACAATAAATAATTATTAATTTATTTGTGAATATAACTTTTTATTTGGGTGAATTCTGGCTATCTATCTGATTTGGCACTTTCATTCCATAAAATTTTGCTTGTAAAAATTAAGTTTTTCTAGAGGCAATGTAGTATTATACTGATTAGTCCACAATATGTAAGTTTTTTATTTAAAAATATGTATCTGAAGACCAAGTGTACTAAAATGGTAATTAATGAGTTGTATAACAAGTGCTATAAAGTTTAAAAGAATATCATTAAAATTGTTGAAAGGTAGCGAACTATAAAATTCTATGTTGAACTTTTAAATAAGTGTAATTGTTGTAAACTATTATAATTTAATACAAATATCTGTACTCAAAACATGACGTTGAACAGTAAAATATGCATTCAACCAAAAAAGAAAATGAAACTATGTTTAATGCAAACCATTATATATACATGTTGTGACTGATATTGATGATGCTTTAACTCCATGTTATTAATTATGCAGGATTTGGAAAATTGTTGATAAAAATGGTGGGGATAGTTTGCTCTAATACGATCGTCTATCATTTTTTCACACAACAAGATTATGTAAATAGTTTAATAGAAAATCATTATTATAACTGCTGTATATTTGAGGTGATACTTAAAATTATTTATTAAAAAACCAAAACAAATGTATTTATTAAAACTATTGATTGTTAAAATAATAAAACCTGAAGGCACCAAAAAAATAAAAAATAATCTCTTTTATAAATTATGTTTTTAAATTATCAATATTATCATAATAAGTTATTAGTGATTAATTCTGATATCCAATAATGTTTCTTAAGATCAATAATTTAAGAACAATGTGGACATTTTGAATATAGTTGTTTGTTTAATTAAAAAAAAAAAAAATGGATGAGTAAGCTGAAGGTGATAAAACTTTATTTAGCAGTTGTAAATACAAGAGCTTAAAAATTTTAATAATTTTTTTAAATATTAAAATTATAATACAGAAAGAAAGAGAAAGATGTACTTGATCAATCAATTATATATACATATGTTATTTGGTAAAAATAGATATAACTGTATTTTTCATTTGTGTGAATATGTTTTTGCTATTTACCTGCAAACTTACTATGTTGACATTTGTAAAACTCTTACCTTCTTAAATTTACAAGATATTTATTACCATTAAAGTTATTAATTTAGAAAATAATATAGTAGATAAACACTTTAATTGAAGAATTATCTAAAATAGCAAAAACATGTAAAAAAAAAAAAAATCAAATTGTATATGTCATTCAACTTTGTGCCCTGTTAGTRAGGCACTGTTTGTTTAAAAATGTATGCATAATAATATGTAAAATAATTAATAAGAATGGATTTATTTATTTAAAAAGTCTCTTAGATTTTAATGATGATAATTTTTAAGGTTTTTAACTTATTTTAGACACTTTTTGTAGTTAATTTTTTTTTATACAATATGATTGATTAGTATTAAAATATTAAAATTAACAAAATAGAGTATGTTCATATATAGTATTTATTTTATGGACTTAAATATTAAATAGTATATGAATATTTAATCAAAATTATAAAAATTAAACAGATATTATTACAATGAATTACTGATTTTTATTAACCTTATTAACTAAAGTAGGTTAAAATTAAAATGTTAGATATGATAAATTAATTTGTATAGTTATAACATAAAATATAAAAGTCAATAAATAAACAGACAATCCTTCAAAAAATTAACCAAATAAGTAACACAAACAAGTCTATGTCGCATGGTTGAAAAAAAATAATATCATCTAGAACTTTTTAGATATTATACAAAATTAAGAGTAAATTTCCTTTGTAATTTATAAATTTAGGTGTAGAGGACAATATATTAAGTAAAATTACATCTGTATTATATTATGTTATAACCAAGTGTTCAATATGTTATCCTTTAGTTTGAATCACTGTCGGATATGACTATACAATCATCTGATATAACAATACATTCATTTTTCACGTCTTCATCACTTGATTCAGAATCATCCATGTTAATAGGATCTGTAGCACAGGATTGCAACCGCTTAAGGTAATTGCTGCGTTTATTTAGTACAAATCTTATATCCTCATTTTTGTTACTTGTTTGCCCTGTTTTCACATTTTTTTTTTGTGAATTGCCTTGTTTTTTGAAGTTTAAAATCTTATCATCAAGTTTTTGAAGTTTCTTTTTTTTCTTTTGCATAGAATGGCGTTCACGACATCTTTCTAATAAGATACTTAAGTGATTTTTGTTCATTTCGCGTAAATTACTTAAAGCAGAATCACATTTAACTATCTCTTCTAAAATTTCATCGCTATCAACAGTAGCCTGTGATGAAGAATGAGGTAAACTTGAAGGTGATGCCACTGGCTTGTCTTGATTACCAATTAATCCTAATTTCTGCAGTTGTTTTCTAATATTTTGTTCCCCATAAAATTCTTCACAAACATTGCTCATTTCTTCTGGTCTGTCTTCAGCAACACCATCAATTTCACTATTGTTATCAATGTCATTTTGAGACATATTTGTATGTTCTAAAATAGCCGCCATAATTTTTTGGAATAATGGCATTGATTCATGACCACCGCGTGCAGCATTATTAGCTCTATTAACTAGTTCTACCACATCAGGAGGTACTCGGTCAGCTAGTCGAGTTTTCATATTTGGCTGATGAGAGCTAGAAGCTTGTTGATCTTGCATTTTTAATTCTTCTCGTACCCAACGTTTTGAATAGTGTTCTCCTAAAGGTGGTATTTTATCAAGTTTAGAGCTATAAGACATTACCAAATCTTCTAACCACTTGAGGTCTTCATCACTTACATCAGCAAGATAAGGTTCAACTAGAGACCAAAATTTTTTTGCCGATTCAGTCTGGATTGGAGGAAGCTCTTCATTTTCAAATTCAACATTGTTTAAGTTTGAAGAGCATTCATCATCATGAAAAATTTCTGCAGCAACTTTTGCTAAATTCATAGATTGTTTACAGTTATTTTCTACTTTATTTGGAGAACCAGATTCTTGCACAGAAGATAGCAAGTTATAAACATTTTTGATTTGTTTTTTGCGTACAATTATACCAGTCAACATTGATTCAAATTCCCATTGTATTTTATCTAATATATCATCTGTAATTATTTGTTCAATATCATCACGTTCTTCTTGATTTAATACATACTGGATTGCTGAATCATGTTTAATTTGGGTGGGTTTTAATCTAGATAATGAAAGCACTCTTTCATCAAAAACTGTATGAATTTTAGTAGTTGCTTTACGCTTAGTTTTGATATTGCTAGTAGTTGGCATATTCTTATTAGGCGACAATGATTGACGTAATTTTGGACGTCGTTTTCTAGTTGATTTTCTGATTCCACTTGGCTCTTCCTCACGTTGAGTTTGTTTTTTTGAAGACATAATTGTTTGTGTTTTGATTTTGCGTTGAAATTAACTGTGGTCAGGCCTGTTGATTAGTACAATGATCTATTAATTTTTATAAAATTTTCTCTATCATTAAATTAAGAACTAACAAAATAAATCTATCCAACTGTTAAGATAATAAAAATGAAAGTAGATAGTAGATATATATATATATGTGTATAATATATTTATAATTTGTACATCACATTATTCTTGGTTTATTTTTTGTGAAAACGTCAAACAATATTTTTTTATGTGTGATATATAGTTTTATTTTATTTATAATTTATAAGTTTATTTTTAAATAAAAGTTGTGTTATGGTTATTCCTGCAAATATGGGTTTTGCCTTTAAGTATTTCAATAATTATTTATATATTTATATATATATATATATATATATCAATTAAAGGGGTAAAGTAGGAAACCTCTTTGTTGTACACCTGTTAGTAGGTGTCTTTGTGTCAGTCACTTTATTATATGTAAAATTAGTCACAAATAAATCATTCCATAATATGAAAAAATATTCTCGAAAAATGGTCTGTTAGACAAATACCTACCTACATTACTAAGTACATATGCATACATATTTTTGACTAACACAGTTATACCTGAATGTACAATAAATATTTTAATATATGTTGACTGAATATAATGAACTGTCTTTTTGCTTTTCCTTAAATAGTTTTTACTGAATCATTTTGTTAATTTTTACCTCGATTTTAACTTTATTTTTTAAATAATTATACAGTTGAGTCTCGATAATTAAAACTTTTTTCTAGTCCATTTAAGTAGTTTTAAGTTTTGTTTGAGATATAAATTGTAAAATAAATGCATGGGTCAAATTTATTTTATAAGCTATGAGATTCAATTACAGATACTTGATATATTTATATTAAATTTTTTATGAAAACATTGCAAATTTATTTTATTATTATTGATTTATGATTATTAAAATAATATAGGTAAATTTATATAATTTAAAACCAATGTTAATTTTAGAGTCAATAAAACTGCTTTACCTAGGAACTATATGAATAGATTTGTGTTATAAACAGTTAATTGCTTAAAATTAATCCTAAAGTTTTAAAATACCATTATGTACAATTAAGTTTTTTTTTGATTTACAACAAAATAACTAATAACCTACCTAACCTAACTAATAGACAAAATCATTATTCTTCATTTAAATATGTAATACTTCATACCAATTAGGTATATTCTTAATTTTAATTAAAAAAATTGTGAATTTTAATCTATAATATTTAAAATGCCTTTAATAACAACTAAAGAGGAATCTTGTATTAATTTTCAATAATTTCGCCTGAGTTTTGTTGATCATATCATCATTTGGTGAAGATTTCAAGCATTGAATTTGAAAATGTAATTTTTTTAAACTTATTAATTGTATTTTAATAGTGCATGTTTAGATTTTAACTACCCACAAATGATATTTCTAAATTATAATAAAATGACAAAAATAATTAATATTTGTTTAAATATCTTATTTCATACAAATATGACTTAAATATATATAACTATGCTTTTATTATTATTTTTTTTTGAGTTTTTAGTTAGGTACAATTTGAATTACTTATGACAGACTTTGTTTCAAATATTCAATCCAACCTCCAAATTTAAAAATGTAATATTTTTAACTATAATAAATTAAAAAAATTACAGTATTCAAATGCATTATTCAATATTTGTACTTAATAGGCTTGTACAATTTTTTAAATATTTTTGAACTGTTATATAACAGCATAATATGAAGAGCCTTGAATTAAATTTCAAGCCTAATCAGTAACCTTCAAATTTGTAAAATTGTAACACATGAATAGGAAAAAAGTACCGAAAATGCCTAGTCTGCAATATATATATAAATATATGTTTAAAATACGTCTTAATTTATTAAGTCAATGGTAAAAATTAGAGTGGATTATCATTATTTTTTCGAATGTTTAATCTTTAATAATATTGCCTAGTAATTGATGTATTTTCGATGTTCTAATCATCATACTGCATTTATACTTTATAGTTTATACATTTAAAATTATTGCAATAATGATAATAAAATAATAAAACAAAAGTACATAAATAGTTGAATCAATGAAGAAATCAAACAAAATAATTCAATTAATTTTATGCATTTGTTTACCAAATGGTCCACAACTAAATTATAATAATCAAATTCATTGTTAAAATATAATTTATTACCTATATAATAAAATATCATGTATTATTTAATTCAGCAGTAATTCTATTAATAAAGAAAAATATAATAATAAGTACCAAATAACTGTTTAGTAAACGCCACATCCGCAAGTATTGTCTGCATTTCTACGTCTTATAAATGCACAACAAAGTAAAAACCAAGGCAAAAACGGTTTTACATTGGGTATTTTACTCTTTCTGTATTTATAGTAGCAATACTAAAACATCACAACCTGTAAGGAAGAACTTTAACTGTGCTATAGCACTTTTATGTAATTTTAACACAAAGGAATACAATTATAATTATCACTTCAGGAAAGTAATTTTTTTTTTTATTTAATTATTAAAAATATTGGTTAGCACTATTACAAAAATAAATAAGCTAAATTACAGATAAAATTGTCCTTTTGTGTAGTGTAGTTATGCTAATTATTCTATGAATACAGAGAGGGTAAAGTTGTCCCTCACAAAACAGTTTTTTGTATGTTGAACGTTTGTAAGATGAAGACAACACACGCGAGTGTGGCATCATTTAATTAATAATGAAGAACAAGTATACAATCATGAAACATGTATGGGATACTAAGTAAAAAGTTATATTATTTTCTTCTGAATAACGTAGTTATAACATTTTTGTTTATAACGGATTTATAATATCTATAATGTATTCTGTGAATATTCAATATTATAAAAATTATAGCTTAATATACCTACTTATAAGTAAAATTTTATATTTCAGATTATTATTATTATTTTAATAAAATTAATTTTTACAATAAGAATATATTATAAGTATTTTATTTCGGGAAAAAATTCACTTAATGTGACAATAAATCTAACAATAAATGATTAGAACATCAAACATATGAGCATCAACTAAACCTGAGTGGTGAAAGAAAACTTTCTTGGCGGGCACCAATGGAACTACCTAGTTCTATTTAGTTTTGAATAAATGTTTAACGTTATGTTCTACTCCTACTCGGCAATTGTGTTTCTAGTAAAATTATTTATTGATTAGTTTGGAATAAAGGACCTGTAGACTAAAAGAAATAGGGAAATTATGTTTGTTTAGGAATATCTGTTACTACAGACAGAAATGTGTTTTTATGATGTTGAGCGGGGAGGGCAGGTTAGACTGAAGATGTATAATATTAGCATTAACATAAGTTGAATGAATTTAAACCACTGATGAAAAGTAAATATAATATTTAATATTGCAATGATTATAACCATATTATTTAAACTCACTGGGTATAAACGATTGATACAAGTCATGAGTCATTAATAAGTTAACAGCACATCAGTACCTAATATTTACTTTTATTTTATGCTTAGATACCAAATTAAAAATTGTATTATTATAAATGCAGTAGCAAGTAACTTTACAAAAAAATATTCCCAACTACCATGCGGTGAGGCGGTCCACTCACTATCAACAGTGCACCAATTCGTCAGATTGGAATCTCAACTGTGCAAGACAATTAAAGTAAATAGCAATATTGTTACATTAATGCGGATCGCAAACTTACTTAAACTGCCGACGATTGAACAAAATAAATCCGGCCTCTCAAAACTAGCGACTCACACGTCAGTGCGTCAGGATTTGTAGCAGAATATTGGTTTTGTTCGCGAGATTAAACTATTTATCTACCATGCGCTGGACACAGTGACACAATTATACATTATACATAACAACGAGTTGAAAAAAAAACCGAAGTAAAATAAGCCACTAGATAAATGGTTTAAGAGATAGTATGGCTGTCTAGCTACGACCTGCAAGTAGATGTCGACTATATTACATGCAAAATTGCAAAGTTCGATAATCGATAACAACGCAGGAGTGTTCTTATCTAAAATACGAAAACGTCAACGGCTGATACCGCTCCTAGCGGATTTCAAACAGAACTACATAGGCTACATGACGCAATAATACGGAACATTAGAGAAAAGACGCCAAAATGTGAATATAAAAGTGGTCGGGAATAATCGCATCCGCCAGAAATGGTGATGTCATTTTTACTTTTACAGCATGTCAGCATAGAGGAATTATTGTTTTTTTGTTCTTATAATCTAAATGGTGAAACTTATGAATAATTACTATGGAACATTTTTTTATGACCGAATTGTACTCAATCGAATATATGTGTTTCCAACTAAATACGATTTTTAGACAAACAGATATTATTGTTTTTAAGCTTTCTAGACATTTTATTATGTGATAAAATAAATATTAATGTATTTGTTATTATT